TGTACCCCTTAATAAAGAAGTATTTGTCTGAACCAAGCCTGGTTGCGTGAGAATGCTTCAGAACTGAGAGTTGAACATCGTGGACTTGACAGGTATTCTCTTCTGTTTAACTATCAAAAAGTTATAATTGTTTTCTCTTGCACAGTATTTTAATAGGTATTTGAGTACAATTACTTCTGAGTTACTTATCCTTAATTTGGTATTGAAGTGTTGTTGTAGAACCTGGTCTCTTGTCTTCTTCCTGACAAAATGTACAAGTATATCTCTTGGTACTTTTCTTAATTTGGCACATTTTGTATTAATTCTGTATACTTTGACCACTTCTGCATCCATATCTTCTTCATTCCATTCCAAAAATTTGTTAGGGATTCTGCAACTCTCTCTCTCTAATATCTTCACCAGGTTCCTCTAGAACCTTTTCACCATTTGCAACCTTCCCAGGGGGCTTCTGACAAGTAAAATCAATGGGGTAAGCAAGATTCATTTAATGACCATGGCAAAAAGTCATAAAATCAGGCACAATTCACTTAATGATTGCATTGCTTAGTGATGGAAGTTCCAGTCCCAATTGTGGTTGTAAGCTGAGGACTACCTATAACAACAGTAACAATAATTGTATAGAAGCTTGGAATTGGTTTTATACATGTAAAACATTAAAAAAAATCTAAGCATTCTCAAAAGTCTAATTTCCTCACCACAGCCTTAGTCCCTCGTGTGATATTAGGATACAATTTCCTGCCCGTAACTGTAGTTCACCCGCACTTATCAAAAAATTGCCCATCCCTGATAGGATAGGTCATCTGAAGATTTGGAATGTGTTTTCACCAATGCACAGATGGCACTGCTTTATCTTGCCTTTTCATATAATAAGGTGGATAAGGATGTGGTGACTGAAGCTTAATCTGATATTATAGATGTGGTCCTTGGCAGGCTAGAGATGATGTCCAAAATCAGGATTTAGTCTGTTTTCAGTCTCAAATGAGATTTGCAGTTTTAAAAATTGGCTTTGGACTTTGGGGTTCAGGAGTGACTCTACCTAGCTTGAGCTGCACTTATTCCTGAAGAAGTCACAGCTAGCTAAGTCAGACACATTTCTGATGTATATCATTGATGTGTTTTATATAAAGCGACTTTTGAAAAATCTCTACAAGCTGTAATT